TTTTATCTTATTATATTTTATTTGATTTTTATTATCTTTCAGAAGCTTGTTCTATGACAGCCTGAAAGGGGGTGGGTCTGATTGGAAGGGGAGGTGGGGAGGAACTGGAAATAGTAGAAGGAAGGGAAACCATAGTCAGGATATATTATATGAGAAAAAAATCTATTTTCAATAAAATGAAAACAAATACAGACTTTTAACATAAATTAATAATTCCACATGGACTCATTTAACATTTTACATGGCATGACATGATGTAGATCAAAGCTCACTCACTGTGGAATCATTTATAATAGTAAACAAGTAAAAATAACATGTAATAGGGTGATAAAAACAAAATTTATACTAAGGAGCCAGTAAGGCACCAAATCATGTGTCTGGTTACCAAGGCAATGCTATGGAAGTAGCTGTTTGTCATTCGATGCCATCAGACCTGGTAAAGATTATTTTGAATTATAAAATCAGTGAGAGACAACAGCATTTTTTTTTTTTTTAGCCTGGCTGACCTGGAATTCATTATGTAGACTCAGCTGGCCTTGAACTCACAGAGTTCCTTGAACTTCTGCCTCCTGAGTGCTGGGATCAAAGTTGTGTACTGCCTTGTCATTATTATTTCTAGAGGGGAAGAAGAAAGACCCTGTCCCATACGTCTACATGGAGGTGTGGGGAAAACTTAACAGCATGGGAGAGGGCCTAGGATGAAGTTGTACCTAGAACTCATGTGTGCCCAGATCATGGGAAGTGAAGAGGACTTTTTCCCAGCCACTGAGTCTCTTAGGAAATTCATCATTCATCAAAATGAAGAAATTGTTTCTACTCCTGTAAGACTCAAAGACCTTTCCCCAGAGGGAAAGGAGCATATTCAGGGACCCATATCACCTCTGCATGGAATACAGGCAAGTGGTCACTAAAATCCTCCTGCATCGTGTTACAAGGAACGAAGCTTTAGCAGGGAGAGCCAAGCAATGTAATGCTAGCTTGGACTGGGAATTCTGACTGCTTTTAGACCAAAGTAACTAGGGGCATACAAATAAAGTCTGGTGCCCTCCCCTGGTCTTCTCTGGGGCAGAAGATGATCATCCTCATGATGTAAATATTGATGAAAAATATACCATGAAGTTATGTGCAATCTATCAATTACTGACATGAGACAGTACTAAGGGACTGGTCCATCACAATTTGGCAGATCACGTGTGGTGGTGTGAACCATCTGTAGGCTACACGAACAGGGAAAACAGTCAGCTGCATGATACAGTGGGCTATGATCTATGTGAAATGGTTAAACTTGTACACAGGTGAATGTCTAGAAAAACACGTAAGAGACAGGTGAAAGTAATTGCCATTGAGAAGGAAAAAGGGACTAGGTGACTGGTAACCATGGTAAATGAAAACATTTGTGATTCACCAAAACTTTTATTATGGTTTAGGTGGCATGTGTTAAAGCAACTGAGGAAGAAACTATTTCTAACACAACAACAAAGTCCCCACTTGCTTAACCCACTAAATTTCATAATTCCCAAGTCAACACTCTGATGCTTTGTGATCCTTTGTGGGCAGGAGAATGATGAAGCAAGGAACCCTCCTACATGTGTGTGCTTAGCCATGCTGATCAAGGCAGCATTCTGCCTGCCTGTTTCAATCTCATTGTAAGCAAGTATACTTGCTGGGATATGTTTAGTGCCCTCCTGTTGGTTTTGTGCCCTTTATGGGAGATCTCTGTTGAAAATGCATCCCTACCCCATGCACAGTGCTGACGTGCTGTCTCCTGTCTCTAAGTGCATGGAGGATGTTGTAAGGTTCTTCTGGAGAAATGAATGCGCTTAGGCTTCAGTTATAGTTCTCCCGGCTGTTGGTTCAGTGTTGATGAAACAATAATGTGTATGAAATGAGATGTCTTCACAGACATGAGCAAAAACAAAGCTATATATTGGTCAGTTGGCAAACTATATGACTAATCACTCGCATGAAACTGTCCCTGTATTTTTCATAATAATGATGGTTCTATAAATTATTTGCTAATTCAGTGTTTGTGGAGACTTCAGAGAATCCAACTGTCAATAACAAGACCCCCCTACTTGCCCGTGTGAGTGTGTGTGTTTTCCTTCATCCTTGAGAATACATTATTAGACACTTAAAATACTCTACAACCCTCTAATTTTTATGGTTATTCCTAAACAGATATATCCAGAGAAAAGGTGGGTGATCCTAACTTTTTTATTGTGTGTGGTTGGATGTATATGTGTTGTAGTATATGCAAATGAAATGTATATGCAGGCATGTGTACCCACATATGCAAAGGAAGCTCTTGGGCATTCTATTCTGTCATTCCATGGCTTATTCCCTTGAGATGGTTTCTCACTAAAGCTGGAGCTAGCCTGGCATCCAGAAAGCCCCAATAATCCTCTCAGTCCTGCCTCCTGCCTCCAGCACTGAGGTTATTGGGTCATGCAACTGTGGCCAGCTTTTATATGAGTGTTGGGGGTTCGAACTCAGGTCTTCATGCTTACATGCTGAGCCATCACTATGGCCCAAGTGAACCTGTTTGCCTGTAGGAGAAATATCCTTTCTAGAAGGAACAGGCATTTCCTGTAGCGAAGACCTCATCCTTTGCAGAGTTCAGCCCTGGTGGAGTGTGCTGAAACACAATGGGTTTTGGTGAGAAGGTAGGGAGAATTGGAATATACCTGGGGGTGTGCCACTCAGATTATTGGAATCATCATCCACAGGAACGTGTGCAAAGGGCAGACATCACAGTGCAAACCCACACAGCTTGTAGTTGGTGAAAGACATTCCGAGGTTCAATCAAAATCCCTGTCAAGGAGAAACACCAAGGACAGAAGCAAGGGTGACGTCAGAGTAGCCAGCATTAAGAGGAGAAAAAAGACACAGTTACCAGGGTGGGGTACTCATAGTCCATGGCCAGTAGCAGAGGGCTTCATGGCGGTGTTAGGACTGTGATAGCATGAGTGAGAAGACACCAAGGAACGACTTCAACCACACATTCAGAAGCTTATGGGGTTTTATTCATTTGGAGGAATCCAGGCCAAATGGAAAGCAGGGGACGACACCTGGAATCCTGCAGCAGGGACTGGATCAGAAGAATGACTTGCTAAAGCAGGACTTCTGAGCACGCATTAGCTCTGGTTTAGTTTGATCTGTAAAAGGCAGATTAACTTGCATTAAAATTAATCTATGCTTTAGAATATAGCTTCTGTTTTGTCTTCTCTTTCAAGGAGAGCAGTGTTCATCTTTGCAAGAGTCAAGTTACCTTTTTGATGGGGTTATGTGTGAATACTGTTTTTATATCATTCTCCTCTCACTCTCCTGCCTGATGTTCCTCCTCTCTCCCTCCTACTCCTTGTCAAAACCATCGTCTCATATTCTTTAACTACAATTGTTACCCACATGCTCAGATTGGCTAACTTCTCTCCAAAACTGTGAATTGCCTGTAGCTCTGCTTCTAGGGGTGAAGCCTTGTGAGAATCCCCCCATCTACATTGGCATGTCATAATGGTTTTGACATTTTTTTTAGGTCTTGTTTGGGCAGCCATATTGTTCAGATCACCTGGGTGAAGCTCATCCGACACATAGAGAAGATACTATCACATGGCACATATCCAGTCCTGGTCCTCTGGCTCTTACAGTCTTTCTGCCTCCTCTTCCTTAATGGTCCTTGAGCCTCAGGTGTAGGTGTTGTATTATAGATGCATCATTTGGGTTAGGTACCCCATAATCATTTGCTTTCTGCATTTTGATTAGTTGTGACTTTCTATAATGTTCACCTGTTGTGTGATATTTTGATTGCACTCTGACAGTGAAACTTGATTTGAGTCAGAGGTCAGAGCTAGTGATTAGCTGACCAGAATTAACCATAGAGGTTTTGGAGGACTGAGGACAGAGAGGAGATAGGAAGTAGTAAGGCAAGACCGAGAGATGATCTCAGGCCTTTTGGATGGAGGAACAGAAGAAATAGGAGGTCACTGGTGGCTTCCCTGCTGCTTCTCTGATCAGTTTCTTACCCTGATATCTGACTCCTGATTTTTTATTGATAAAGAATAATTAGATAAATGCTTTATTCACAATATCCTGCAAAGAGAAACTTCTTTGGTGAGGGATGAGAGCCACACTTATCTGTTAGTATAATGGCAAGTATTTAGAATGCAGTTGGGGATTATATTAATTTAGTGAAGTAGCAGTAGTGGGTTCTCTTTTAGGGTCCATGCCCTTACCAGCTACGGGTAATAGTCTAGGTTTCCAGTACCAGGCACAGATTCCCTCCTACTCAGTGGGCCTTGGGTCCAATTATCAAGTTGCTTTGTTAAAAAAAAATGAAGTAAAAAATATAGTTGGGGATGGATTATAACATATTTGTGGCATAAATAATGAAGTTACTTATGGGGCATGAATGAAGTCCTTAGTGAATGTGTATTGTTGACATGAGTGTGACCATGTCAAGGATCTACAGTTCCATGAGGGTTTACCACACCCATGGGAATGGCAAAGACTGCCAGGTCAGACTCACAAGAATGGCAAAACCTTCCCCTGTACAGATGCTGACAGTGTGTACAGAAAATATCAACCATCGCTTTCTCCTTCTGGATGTTCACAACCTAAGATTGTCCCCCTACAGAAAACACCTATTGCGATTATTAGCTAAACCTACCTCTTTGTTCAGCTAATAAGACAATCTGTGCCCCCCCCCCTTCTTGTTAAGTTCTATACAATATATCTGAATCCTAGACTCAGGTGTACAAAATAAACACACTGAGTTTCCAGCTGCTGGTAGTAAGTCTCCATCAGAGTCCGCGGCCCACCAGATCTCAGCTTTTCAGTCCATGTGTCTATCCTTCCTTCATTCCTTTGTTTCCCCAGTCAGGTCAAGGTCAGCACTGTGTGGGCCATGACAGTTGCTAATAATGTTGTGGACTATTTAAAAATCTTAAGTGTGGAAAGTATACGCATCTTTGTGAGACGTTTTCTTCTTTTATGTTTTATAACAGAGAAATGGTCCATCATAAACATGGTCTCATGGCTCAATAAGCCTCCTAAAGGATTATGGAGATTATGAAGATAAAGAATGAATACAGACTTTTCAAGTATGCTATGTTATACACTTCAGAACAGTATTTTTGTTAACGCCTCTGAATTTCTTCATTGCCAACACGGAGAAACATAACTTCCATGAAAGTCGCATAGCAGCTGCCCTCAGAATGAGTGTTTAGTGAGTTGTTACCTGCAACTTAACTAGAGACAAAGGCAGCCCTTGTACACAAGTTTGAGTGATAAACATAACATTCTCAAAGACAGATATTTTCAGCAGTTTGAAATGAGTAAAAAAAAAAAAAAAGTGAACCAGATACAATTCATCTGAAATGAATGCAAATGGCCCTACCTTCTATCTTTAAACCATTAAATGTAAAGTACAGGTTTTGGAAATTTATACCTACTGAAAATTAATGTAAACTTTTAGTTTTTTGGTATAACATGAGAGCACTTATAAGATGAAAAGATTATGTAATATGGATTCCCAGAGTAGAAACTTGTGTCCAGATTGAGGAAAGGGAAGTTCAATATTCTCCAAACACAGTAGCCCATATCAAAAACTTTAGATTCTATTTCATTAGATGTTATCAAACTCACAAATATATTAGGTCATAATTCTGAAGAATAATCAGAATCAAAACAATTGGGGATATTTAATATGGAAAAAATAAATATTTGAGTAGTATACAGTAGCTGTACTTGGATATTTGAAGGATGATCATGTGGAAGAGGTTTGTTCTCTATACTTGCATAATAATGTGCTAAGCAGATTGTTAGAACTTGACATGCTGAGAAGAGATGGTGGCCCAGGTCATGAAGAGTAGCTGAATTAAGGAGGATAGACAACAAGAAAGCACAAAAGGTCTCCAAGACACCGAGAAGCAAGAGCATGTTTGCATTTTGAGATAGGTTAGGCTGTGCTGGGGAAGAAAGTTCTACTATCCTAAGATATTATAAAGAGGTGAGAGAGTCTAGATAAGGTAAACACTGAGACTGTGGGTTTTGACTACAAATAGAACTTTGAAGAATGTTGAGACACTGCTTAATTGCTTTTGCAGTTCCTCGTATAATTAACAGGAAAGCTAGAGTCTACAACCGCTTCAGAAATTTTCAAAATTCTAATCTAGAATTAGAGCACAAAGAAAGACGATGAATGAGTAAAAGGAACATTGTAATAAATTATAAACTGGAATTTAATTAGCAGAGAAGGCTAAGCATGGAGAGATTAAAAATATCTTGCTTGATGTAGGCTTTAGTTGACAAAGCTCTAGAAAACAAGTTTGGAGAATATTCAAAATGGAAATATGGTTATCATCCTTACTTTGAACAGCAACTGGACCAAACCTCTGTGTTTACTCTTGCTATTTCATAACTTTTTTTTCTTGTAAGTAGTGGATATTAAAAACTGAAGAAATTGTGGACTCAGAATAGCCGAGTTCATGTGCTAGCAAAGGGTGGATTGATTTATTACCTGCTGTGAGGAAGAGACAATAGCAAATTTAAGTGGAGTCTACACGTTCCTCAACAGGAATCACTTAATGGGTAGTATTAACCTCATTCTCTTCGTTAGCTTTGCTATGACTGTGTTCACCATTTTTCCAGATTTTTGTCTTATATCAGGAACTTGTAGTCAGACAATATTTTTATGTCTCTTTATTTATAAATACAAAAGACATTGCTAAGACAACCAATTGGGGATTAAATGGCATAGGAGAGTAGAGACTGGAATAGAAGGTCTGAATGGATAACCATGGGCACTGTCACCCAGCTGGGGATGTGCAAGTCTTGATTCTGCTCTTTACAAAACTGTATGACTTGGTATAGATCACCCAATAACCCCTGTGTGTCTTCCTTCATCTATAAAACTACTTCACAGGATTGTTGAAAGATTAAACAAATCATTTTGTAACTTTGCCTATTACATGGCAGATAGTCAATGTATGTTAAAATTTCCTCTTCTCTGTGGCTCATATAGTCACTCTGTTGATCAAGTCCACTAGCTTCCTTAGGGTTCAGTCTCCTTCTCTCTAAATTCACGTCATTGGACTGGATGCTGGCAAACTATCTTTCTACTTCCTCTTAGTAAATTTAGTCATTGTTCCTTTCAATAGCCTACCAGTTATATATAAACTACCTATTTTGTACAGTGATCATCTCTAGAATAATTAATCATACAGATATTTTACTAGCTTTAAGAATTTATAAAGTATGACTAAAATGCAAAATAACAAAGAGATGTAACTACCATGTTGGATGCTGTGTGATAACTTTGTGCACTTAGTACAGCATCTAAGGTTCAAAGAAGGAAAAGAAAAAACCAAAAACCTCAGGATATAAAGGAAAGTACCATGGGTGGGATTATGGCGGACAGCATACACATGAAAACGAAAGGGTTTTAAGAAGAGAGTGCATATATAGGACCCTTCGGCTCAACATCAGTAATCACAACACTCAGAAGGCTGAGGCAGGAGGATCACTGACAGTTCCAGGCTATATAGTATGACCCTGTCCCAAGAAACAACAACAAAATGGAATGGGTGACATAATAGATTAATGTGGTAGAGGGTTCTCATAATAAGAGTAGATAACCAGGTTTAAAAGCAAAGTTGTGCGAGTTTTAGGAGCCTTCTGAATTGTTTCCTGAAAAGCATGAACCATTCTTTTAAAAAGTCATTATTTGATCATTGAACCCATGAGTGTAATGTGTTTTGATTGAATTTATATCCCATTTCTTCACCTTCAATTCCTCCTATCCACCCCACGTTTTCCTTTCCAATTTCATATCCTCTTTCTAAACTCCCTCAGTCCACTTATTACTGCCAGTGTGTGCTTGAGTTGTGGGGCCAGCCACTGCAACATAGGAAGCCTATCAGGAACTACATCTGAAGAAAAGTGGCTCTTTTCCTCAGCAGCCATCAATGGAGGGGGTTAAAGACTTCAGAGAAGCACCATGGTCTCAGAAAAATGAGCGTGCTAGAGAAAGAAGAACAAGGAACTCCCAGATAAGAGGTAACAGCACTCCACCTGAAAAACTGTGCCTTTTTTTATATCATTTTTGATATTCACCTTCCCTGGATATACTCAGTACTGGTTCCTACGTATGCCCTTTCGCCTTTCTACTGGTGTTCCAGCTGGATAGATCTCTTCTATGACTTGGATGTATCCCTCCCAAATCATGTCTGGAAACATTAATGTTTCAATGTGTTTAATATGGGGACCTGGGACCTAGTGGAAGGTGTTCAAGTCATGGGGCTTTCGAAAGCGAATGAATGCCTTTCTCAGAGGAATGGGTTGGCTATCATGAGAGCGTCACCATTACCCTTTAGTGTATGTTCTCATGTCCTCACTCCCCTTCAGATTTCCACAATTTTATGAAGTTCCATGAATCCCACAGCAGATAAAGCCACCAGATCTTGGCTAGCCCAGTCTCTAAAACCATGAGCCAGCATAAGCCTCTTTCTCTTTTAGTCACTGGTTCCTAAATCAGGTCATAATAACTCAAACAATCTCCTTTGTACAACTCTGGACTTAACACAGCCGTTTCTTCTTATGGGGCTTGGGAGAAGGAGGAGATCGGCTACGTGGATCTCTCCTACTGTAGTAGCTTGTCTTCCTCCTAACCACTCCCCTCCATGAGACTGTAGCCTTGTTTAGCTAACCATTACTGGGCAGGTGCTACTATGAGTATATTGAGACTCTTCCCTGCTATGGGGATCTGTGTGGAGACCTGAGTCAGCAGAGCAGCGAACCAAGTCAGGCAAGAAGGAAATCCGGTTCAACACCCGTTTCCAGCTTTCCTGGCAGAAACAGGTATGCATCCCTTCCACTGAAGAGACAGCCCAGCGTGATAAATATTCCTGGTTTCCCTGATCTTCTCTGTGAATACAGCAACCTCAGGCCCTCTACACTTTCCTACCTATAATTTTTTCCTGTCAAATGCCTCTGGAGGTCCCAAGTAAACCTCACAGAAACCTCAAGCTCTTCTTTCCCTCCAAGCCTTATATGTATTATTAGGTCTTTAGTATTCCTCTGTCTTCTACCCTTTCTAGGCCTCCTGATCCTTTTCTATCTCTGAAAATGAAGTCTATGGCAACCAAGGGAGCCTCTTGCAGTAAGAGCAGGAGACCACAGGAGGAGAAAGTTATCTTTGCTAATTCGCCCAAGTTTTCCCTCCCTCAAGTGTTCTTCCATCGACCCTGATCAGGGTTGGGTGCTGCTACCACAGATATTTTTAAATCAAGAATAGCTTTCATATTTCCTGAGAAGGTAAAGATGAAGAGATTTGGAGAGTGAAACAAATGGTACCCCAAAAAGAGCATGAAGCTGAGAGCCAGATGGAGCTTTATGCATTCAGAGTGTGGGTAGCTGCTTATTTGTGACTGGTACATTTCTTGATTTCTGTTTTCTCAGTTGAAGGGGGCACAACACCTGACAGGTGACATGTCAGAAACTGATGCTCACCTTCTGCTCCTACTGCAGCCCCTCCCCATTGCATATGATACTTGCTGCCTGCCATTAATTTGTTATCTATTCAAAGTTGCAGCAGAAAATAATGTCACTGCTGATTTTGAACTTTTGATGATTCTATTATATTACCTAATTTTGAAATATATGATTTTAAATGGTACTAAAATATAATGTTCTGTTCCTTATTTAAAATATGTCAAGCATTTTGTGCTTCTGATACACTTTTGAGTGCTCCAGATGTCAAAATATTTTAACAAAGACCCACTGTGATGTTTTCCTCACCGTCTCTTCAGGAACGACATCTCCAACGATCTTTTCTCAGAATTCTTTTCCTATCCCTAGCCAGACCAGTCATCATTTTCCCCAACTGTTTCTAGAATGTGGAAGACTCCAACAGAACGCTGTCATGGTTTGAATATAAAATATTCTCCTAACAGGCCTGTGTGTTTGAAGGCATGGTCCACACATAGTGTTGTTAGTTCATAGTGATTAAATTCTATGGTTGTTGATGTCATCAGTGGGGCGATCCACTGAGGAGTTCTAAATGAATGGGCTATTAGGAGCTGGGTCTTATCTGGAGGAGGCAGGTCCTTGAATCTGCCTTTGAAAGGTCTATCTTGTCCTCATCTTTCCTTGTTCTTGCCCTTCTTTCTGGTTACCATGAAGTGAATAACTTCTCTCTACCATTTTTCCACCAGACACTCTGCCACGGTGTTTCAGTCTTACCTCAGGCCATAGCAATGACCTCAGTACTAAAGGGGCTGAGGCCTCTGAAACTGTGAGCCAAATAGCCCTCTCCACCTTTAGTTGGGTTCTCTTGGGTATTCGTCACAGTGGTGGCAAAGCAACCAATACAAACACAAACTTCATTGCAGCAAAATGGTGTGATATGGCCTTTGCCTTAAAATACAACTACTAAAACTGTTATCAGAAATTGTACCTGAAAAAATAAGTATCTTTTGGAGCCATGAATACTATTCCCTTAGTAAATATCATCAAATATTGCAGGCTAACTCTGGAGCCAGTACCTAAATTTTCGTCTCTTAGAGATAAGCTGTGCCACCTTGAGCGAGTAATGTAACTTCTCTGTGCTTCATAGCCAATGTGAATTTCTTCATTTTTAAATGAGGCTGATTAAAAAAAATGTTATTTCTGAGACAGTCCTAATGATTAATCAATTTAATGCATGTAATATAATAAGAAGGTGTCTGGCATATAGTTGGTCCTATACAAATAAATCTGCTCTGTTGTTTGCACAGTACCTGCCTGACTACATGGTTATAATTTCATATATTAAAAAACTTCATTAAAAAATACTGACCAATATTTTCCCAATCCCCGAATTCAATTACATATAAATAAATATGGGTAAAGAACTTACAAGAATATATTTATACTTATTCTACTCCTTGGACACGGACTTGTTTGCCTACAAGATGGGATACACACAAGAGTTAAGTGTTTCATGAGCATGTCTTGTTTTGCTACTTAACAGAACTATTAACATGGAGTACTGTAGATAAGTCTAAAAACTGGAACCTGACATGGTGTTTTGAAAATCACAATGGTCTAAAGCCGTGATTCTCAACCTTCCTAATGCTGTTGAGCTTTTAATACAGTTCATTTTGTGATGCTGAGACCTTTTAATATAGTTCTTCATTTTGTGGTGACCCCCAAACCATAAAATTTCTTTTTGTTGCTGACTTCATAACTGTAGTTTTGCTGGTGTTTTAAATAATAATGTAAATATCTGATATGCAGTATATCTGATATTTGCGACCCCCATGAAAAGGTCGTTCGAACTTCCAGAGGAGTAGTGGCCCACAGGTTGAGAAACTCTGATGTAACCCCTAACTTTTGTGGCACTTAGTAGAAGTACAGTGCTAATAGGAAGTTTCCTCCCCCTTAACTGTGATATGCTCAAGAAAGACGCAGCTTTTGTCACGGTGTTGTTTGGACAGCAAATGCTCGCCCTGTACACACCAACAGCTTAAAGAGGAAAAGGATGTCCACACCACAACTGGGGAATATCCAAAATTGTAGCCCACAGAGTGAACACACCAGACTTGATGGGCCTAGTAAGATGGGGACTTTAAACACTGTTAAGTACACTTGTTAAATTAATTCTTCAAAATTGTTTTTAAACAGAGTAAGTACTGCAGGCCCTTAAGATTGCATGGTTACTTAGTAACTTCCTGAAGCCACATGAATGCACCCTTCTCCTATGGCAGCCAAAACATAGAGAGCAGGATCAGTCCCTTCTTGATGAGTACATGAATGGCAGGGGGCGAGCTTTCAATATTTAACCCTCCCCTCAAAAAACTAGACTCTCAGAGTATCCATGATGATCCTGCAGCCTCTCATTTTTACCTGTTAAGGGATTTTCATTCAGGAACTGAAACAAAACTCGCAAGTCTTTCTTGAGGCTGGTGTCATAAAAATTATTTTATACCAGCTGCCCTGATAACAAATTCACAACAGTAATTGCTACTTTCCCCCATAGTGGTTTGTTTATTGCTTTGCAGTCAAAACATATCAAATTCTTGTCTGACTTAGTCTCTCACAGTGTTCACTAGAGAAATTCAGAGGATTAGAAGCTACTTGAGAAACATGTGCATACAGACCTTGACTAGATGAGGAGAGAGAAAAAAAATGCACTAGTCAGACATCATGTTAAGATGAAGAAAATAAAGTTATGGATGACATCAGATAAAACTGACTCAATCAGCACTGACCATTTGCAATTCAGTAGATCAATCCATCTTCCCCAAATTAATTGAAAATCCAATAAATGTACAATGTGCACAGATCAATTGCTTTCCATTATAAATTACCTGAGCCTAGTGGAGTTGAAAGATTGTGGACCAGAGCTTCATGGCTCTTATGTAGAGTGATTTTCATGAGCTGATATTTGGGACTGAATTTATGTGTCTTTTCAGATCAAGAACATGACATAAATGGAAGTGATATTTGTTCTTTCACAGAGGAGAGGTCTAGCTGGTAAAATACCACTCCATATAAAGTTTATTCTGAGCTTAGTAATTGTGATCTATACTATGGTCTTTAATATTAATTCTTAGAGAATTCAATTAATACTTGGAGAATGGGACTTCTTCTGGATACCATGTATAAATTTCCTTTTCTAAAGAGTCAGGCAGGGTCACTTTAGAATTGCTCTCTCTTGCTACTGAGTTTCTTCCCTCCAGTATGATAGCTTTCATCAGATCAAGCTCCCAATATATCTATTTTATTGTGTCCTTCCCATGCTCAAACACTTCCTTTGGAAGTGAAGGTGTTCTGCGGCTGGCTAAGAAATCACCTGTGTTTTAAGTCTAAGCCTGAACCAAAAAGACGCTGCAACTGTTTTGATGGTCCAGTCCAGTTGTGCTCACTTTCCTGTGTCTGTAGGTTTCCCACTTCCTGCCATTCCAGGATGCTCGCCAAATTAGAATGGCCCTACACCCTCTTAATGAAATTCTTTAAGTACATGTTTACTATTCAGAACCTCTACTGCCCTATTCTGGACTGTGATGTTCCAAGGAAACCCCACCACCCCCACCACAACATCTTCTGTGAAATTATTGGGATGATTTTCACCATCTTATCTTATCTTAACTTAACTGGTTAGTTACCCCTATATGTCTGTTTTCTTTTGAAAATTGTTTACTAGAACTACCTGGTCTTAAGTAGATATTGTATTATGAAGGCACCAGGACCTAAATTTGATTGTATGTTTTCATGTGTTTAATTTTTAAGTTAAAGATGAAGCTCCATTAATGCATAGCTACTTAGATTCCTTTTTTGATTTTTCAGCTTTGGCAGTTTGTGTTTTTCAAGGAATTTCCCATTTAGTCCAAAATATTGAACTTCTGGTATAAATTTATATTGTAGGTATTTTGGGTTTTGGAGTCTGTTTTCACCTTTAAAATCACTGATCCCAAGACAGTGAGATGGATCAGCAGATAAAGGTAACTGATACAAAATCTAATAATCTGATTTCAATCCCTAGCACGCACACACACACACACACACACACACACACACACACACACACACACCACACACACACACAAGTAATTTTAAGTCATTGAATCTTTTTCTATAGCATTTAATTTGCTTTTGAGCTCATTCAGTGGATTCTACATTTCAATTTTAGCTCTAAATGTCACATTAGTGCTTTTTCCTTCTTTGTTAAGGGTCTCCTTAAAATTGTGTGTTTGTAACTCTTAACAGCTGTTCTAGCCTCTCATTAATGCTGGTATCTATTTCAGATGTTTTAATTATTGCATTTTATTTATTTATTTGCATGTATGTGGCGGGGGTGTTAATATGTATGCATGGAGGTCATCGGACACTTTTTCAGGTGACAGTTCTGTCTTTTCACCATGTGGATCACAGAGAACTCAGGTTCTCAAAGTTGATGACCAGTCCCTTAACTCACTGAGCCATGTTACTGGTCCTTCTAAGTCTTTTTCTATTGATATCTATTTTGAAGTTTTGGTTATATCACAGCTACTTTCTCGTTTTGTTTGTTTGTTTGTTCTGGTTTTTTGAGACAGGGTTTCTCTGTGCTGTCCTGACTACCCTGGAACTCACTCTGTAGACCAGGATGGCCTCTAGTTTAGAGATCCACCTGCTTCTGCCTCCCGAGGGATGGGATTAAAGGCGTGTGCCACCATTACCCAGCCAAGGTACTTTGTGTGCTTAGTAAAGCATGGGCGTTTTGGCAGTTTAACTGTTGACTGAATTTTGCTGTCTTCCTCCTCTTAAGAGTGCTGAGGTTGTTTTGGTCAGAAAGCAACTTACTTGAGAATCAGCTTGGTATTTTCATCATTTGATTTTTTAAGTTCATGGGAGGGGGGCAGATAAAAGTATCTTTCACTGTCTGCTAAATGTAGGCTGCCTCCCATATCCTGACTTTCCTGTGGTCCCTTCAGAATGGTCCAGATGTGTATCTTCATACTGGCTTGTTATAAGTTAAGCACAGCCCAGCTCTAATCGTTCCATTTATAGATACTTGCCAATTATCTCAACTTCTAGGAGATTAAAATTTGAAGATCCACATGTGTTTCTGCTTAGTTCCTCGAACACTCAACACTGTGCATTCCTCTCTACAGCACTCAGTCATATTATTCAGGATACCATTACCCTGGAAGTTGTGGTTGGATAGGTGTCTGTGCTCTACCTGTCTCTCCTCCTACCTGTGCCTCTGCAGAGAGTTTGGTGCTCGCAGGGTTTCTTTCCTCATGTTTCATTCTTGGAGTGCTGCCTGTGATAACCATTGTCTAGCATCTGAAACATTATCACATCTGTTTTGTCCAGCTTTCCAGCTCTGAACAAGAGGCCTAATCCAGTATTGGTTGATTCATGAGCACCAAAAGTAGGGAGTAATATTTCTCAGACACAATTTTTGTCATTGGATTTTTACAATTTGAAGAGACTGTCTTGTAGATAAATGATTTCTAAACCAACTCTCTATGTAGCAGATGCAAATTTTTTAAAACTTACAACAAATTTATTTTTGAATGTTATGTATATATGATTTTTTTAGAATGTATATGATAAAATTTTCTTTTTTATATTAAACTCTACTGATATGTCTTACCATTGGCATAGATACATGCTAAAGAGAGTAGTAGTATTGTGTGCTTATCTTATTTAATTTTGAGAGCATTCCCCTGCTCTTTCTGAATCAATACTGTCCTCTGGGTTCTTCCCTCCTGCTTAAAAATTCTCCTTTGCTAATTTCTTTTCTTCCACCCATAACTTAAGAGCATCCCCTTGTCTCTGGACGTACTCACTACTGAGTTTCTGGTAGTGCTGATGACTCCCAAATCTAGATACTGATATTTTTATGGAGCTCAACCTTCTATTTTGAGCTTGACATGTGTGTTCCTCTACTTTATACCACTGAAGACGTTTACATAATGTGTCATTAGATGTTTGGAATTCTCATCTCCAAAATTGACCTCATTCACAGAGCTAACTATTTCCACCTTGCTCATGTCATGTTAGAAATTCACTCAGCTCTTCAAACCCAGAAGCTAGGAGTTATCCCAGAAATGTGTCCTTCTATATTCATATATACATTCGTGATTTTTCTGTATCTCTGTTTAAAAAATCCAATAGTCACAAATAAGTGAAAACACGCAGCTTTCTTTTTCCTAGGGTTGCATTAATTTGCTTACTATGATCATTTTCTATTGCATCCGTTGTCTTACAAACAATATAACTTCACTCTTTATGGTAAAAAAAAATCTATTATGTATATTTCCACATTTTCTTTATTTTTTGTTGGACTCATAAGTTGGTTGAATAATTTAACCGCTGTGAGTGATATATAATAACAATTGCTGTGCAAATATTTTTATGGTGGTTTGGAGTCCTTAAGTCTTTCTCTCAGTTCTAATACATAATCACTACTGAGTCATGCAAGTTATACCTTCTCTAGCCAAACTGACTCTTCCTAGCTCATTTTTCTATTCCAATTGTCTCCTAATGCATACTGATCTATAATTTAGCACTCACCCCATGACACCTTCCACACTGTTGCCAGATCTAAGCAAGTATGATATCACTTTCACCTGTTCTGAGTGACCATGGTAAAGAAATTCTCTATCCCATTCATTTTGTTTGAGCATTTCTTCCAACAGCACACAGAAGCCAGGGCAATCACCATAAATGGCACCTACGAAAATGTCCTTAACATCTCAGAAATTCTCTCCTGCTTATCCTGACACCACCTTCAGTATACAGGCACATAATAATGTCATTCCTTCGGTGTGCTCGATGAACACATGGGAAGCTAAATGGGGATTTGGAGTAGGGAGTGAAAATGAAAGCCTCAATGTATTATTGTATAGGAATGCCAACACTCCTATGTTATTTTAATAGTAGCTCCACTTTCATAGACCGCATTTGGCCCAATAAAAACATCTTGACAATTCAGAAGAACCTAGAAAGAATATTGTCATTGGCTATAAGCAATACTCCATTGTACTCAGTTGGCTTTGCAGTAGAGAAGTCAAGGGAATGAGAAACATTTGTTGTATATTGACCCCTTTGCTCTTATGTCTATGTTCATGTGTGATACAGTTTGAATGAGAAATGAGCCCCCTCCATGAGCTCATATATTTGAACACTTGGTCCCCAGTTGGCAGCACTGTTTGGAAAGGTTATGGAAGCTTTAGGAGGCAGGACATTGCTGGTGGAAGCATGTCACTGGTTGTGGGCTTTGATTATTGCCTGACCTTGCTCCTTGTTCTCTTGCTCTGTTTTTGTTTTTTTTGTTTTGTTTGGTTTGGTTTGGTTTGTTTCAAGACAGGATTTCTCTGTTTAGTTTGGAGCCTGTCCTGGAACTCCCTTTGTAGACCAGGCTGGGTTGGAACTCACAGAGATCCGCCTGCCTCTGCCTCCTGAGTGCTGGGACTAAAGGCATGCACCACCACCGCCCAGCTTCTCTTGCTCTGTTTTCTCCATGATGATAAAGTGTGATCTCTTTGCATCCTGGCTGCCCAGCTAGCCATGACTTCCAAACCGTGGTGGACTATAACTCTTTGGAACTGTAGCCAAAATAAAGCCTTCTTTTGCTAACTTGCATGTTGTAGGGCATTTTATTACAGCAGCAGAAACGAAACTTGTACAATGTGTACACACACGTGAGCACTCCTCAGGAATTATTTGCCATGGGTAGTGTGTTCGCAGTTCTTAGAACTGCTTGGGAGCCCTGGTTTCTATTGCCTTGGAATTAAAGGCATGTAGCTGACACTGAGGCAGTGTCCACTTGGTTGCTGTAGCCAGCTCAGTGTTACAGAACTAGATTCTAAACAATTTGGCAGAAACTGTGATCAGAGGTCACAGAAGGATAGATTAAACACAATGCCTCTCTCTTCTCCAACTTTCTTTTCTCTTCATTTATTTATAGGTGTACTTTCTGCTTTCTCAGAAATGCTTTTAGAATAAAATATCTGGCACAATATGAAGTTTAAACCTTCATCTTGGAGGCTAGAGCACATGCTGGAGCAAAAGCTAATTTAAATACTGAGATAATTTTTTAGTTGGACGTTTCTCTCCTACTAATCCACCAATTATATGTGAGTGAGAAAGTAGAAGACAGAAGCATAAAGAAATATGTAGGGGAACAGGCAATTAAGGATGGGAAGAGGCGATTAAGGAACACTTGTATGGTTTATTCATCATCTTTTCATCATCTAAAAGCTAGTAAAATGAGGCTAACAGCAACTTGACAGGTTAGAAGCTGAGCTGGTTCATGCTAAGAACATATTGGCTATTCTGAGATCAAATGCAGAAAGGAATGTGCTCTCATGGGCCAGTTGAGTCATCTGGAGAATCACTGATGTGTTCCCAGCACGTTGGTAAATTATAATGAAAGCTGGTCCTAGAAGCAAAGAGGGAGATGAAACACTAAGCTGAAAGAGAAGAGAGAGATCCTTACCTCCTCTTAGTTGTGGAAGAAGAGTCTTTGGGAGTTTGCTTCTCAGGTCTGCAGTCATGTAAAGAAAAGGAAGAGAAATGAAGAGATGCTGGAGGAAGATCACATTGGCTCAACTATAAATTTAATATGAAGTGATGATTTTTGATAAGCTGTGGTACTCATTAATGAGAGCTACAAATATGGAATTGGTAAAATTGTAACAGAGGTTTTTAGAGGTTTAAAAAAAAACAACAAAAATCAGTGAACTTGGAAAGAAACCAGGGAAAGAGAGAACAGAATGTCATTCACTTCCTCTTAAACTGTGTTGATATTTGCAAAAGCTCCAACAGAGCAACAGCGTGGCACTCTCTGAAAGGAACAAAGAGACATGACAGACCAGCTCTGCTCTTGATGAGCCGTGAAATTCTATATTAAAAATGAATAAAAGTCATGATGCTAAATCCGATCCTTTGCAGCCGTGATTTGCTTCTCAGACAGGCCTTCACATTACCAATTACCAGATTCCTGCAGGCAGGGTAATGTTTTCAAAACAGTCGCTTTGAGAAAAGGAATACTTAAGTGAAGCTATAACCTTGAAAAGAGTCACCTTGATAAGAACGTGTCTCCAGTCATGCATGACCGTCCCCTGGCTTTATCTTTCACAGGACGCTTGTTTTTCAGATGTTTCTGTAGGATGTAACATTTAGTATAATGAATAAGTATCACACTGTCTTGTTAATCAGGCATCCAAAGTGTTTTCATTGTAATTATGGCAATCCCAAATCAGCTGCTTCTGGAAAGAATGAGCAAAGAGGAGAAGGAGACAATAAAACTAGCAGGGCTTGGCACAGTACTGGAAGCATATGGATGTTCAGAATCATGGTTAATGGGAGAACAAAGATTATGATAACTTTGCAATGGAAATAATTCTCACTGAGTCTGTGCATTAATCAAATGGACCAAGTTCTTTGAAAATCAAAATTATTACCTTTATAATAGATGGTACTATTATATGTGTTTTGTATATGAAGTAAATGGCTTAAAAAGCATCATGGCCATGGAACCTTGGTCAACAAATTGTGGAAGAGTGAGCCAAGTTCTGCTGAACCTAAGTCCCTATTCTTGCCTACTGTCTTCTCCTCAGAGTCTCTTCAGTTGATTAATAATGAAGTGCCTTATAGTATATTAAATAAACCAAAACAGGATTATAAAATTTCAGGCCAAACAAAGAAAACAATACTCTATATTCTACTTGTGCATTATTTTATATTTTTCTAGACAGTTTTGTAAATCTAATACTTTCTATGACAACAATTTCATGGTTTCTGAAACCCTTTTGCACATCTTAGATCAACTGCTTCTTATAACTTTCCAGTAAAATTAAGGCAGGCTCCCTGGAGCTCAAGGAGACCTGCTGACTTTTATGTATACCCAGAACTTGCAAAATGAGATTTGGATGCAAGCCTTCAGTTCCACGTTTCTGTGCCTTCCACTATATAGATCCACTGACAGATTTGAATTTTAGCTCAAAATCTGCAAACACCACTCAGTTATTCTGAGTCTACAGGTCCCATTGTGGTATTCTAGTCTATGTTTTCATTAAAGCTTAACCAATACAGTTTTCTGTATTTTGGTCTGTAGGATACAGTAAGCGGTAGTGTTGGAGATTCTAATAACTGTTGCTAAATGTTTACATCTCTAAAGCACTTGAAAGACATGTATGCTTTATCTCCAGCCAACCACCATACATGCAAAGAAAGACACTCAGATCCTGCTGAAAGCCTTTGGCATTGCTCGTCACATCCTTCAGAAAGATGTTTGTCCAAAATGAACACATGTCCAGCTGAACAACACAGAAGATTCCAGTGGGTAAAATCCAACTGTAAGCAGTCAGTAAACACATCTTGACTACAGTATCAGATAGTTGGTAAATGCTGGCTCATTGATACTATGATTACATTTGCTATTGTATAATGAAGTGATTTATTCTGTTTTAATCTGATCTGAAGCCAATACTTTGATGAAATAACGTGTGTATTTATGGATGGAGGACATCAGTGCAGTAAGAGATGGCAAAGAATGTGGGTCATATGTAAAACTATGACTCTGTAAGTCATAAATGAACTATTCAAATATATGATAGCCTAAATTAGATCATCTACAATTCCCTTTACTGAAAAACATAATAATGAAGAAGGAAAGAAACATCCACTAGTTAAAAATTTATAAAGTAATAGCATAATGTGTCTTTTTTAAGACTCAGTTCTCCTCATGAATAAGGAACACCAGTAACATCCACTAACCCTCAACATGGGTTGAGAAGGGAGTATAAATGACTGATAGATTTGAGCAAGTTTCTGATGGGTTTCTATTTTTCGAGATCTTCTCTCTGAGAAAGATTCATCTATATTCCTGTGTATTCAAAACTACAGATGTACCAGTGGAAAATTTTTTGGTCATTAACTTCTGGCCTGTGGGGCCTATGACAAGATGGCGCAATTTTATAGCAAGTAAAGATATTAGTTAATTAGCATGTATTTTACAATACTTGAGTATGACATATATGTAAATTCCATAGGCACCTTTATTAAAAATTAATGCAAAGGGCATGCAGAATTGGAGCCTAGGAAGGGGGCTTACTAGGTACAAGCACGTGTTGCCCAAGTGTGAAGATATGAGCTCAAACCCACGTAAAAAGCTAGGCTTGGCTACACAGGCATTTGTAAGCTGTGGAAGTGCTGTGGAAGACAGGCAGGAGCTTCACTGGCGCATTCTGTCTGTCACCTCAGCTCAGGCTCAGTGAGAGACCCTGTCACAAGCAAATAAGGCTAAGTGTGATGGAGAAGGACACCTGAAGTCCCCTTCTGGTCTCTGTGTGCACACAGGCATACCTCCCCCAACATGTGTGCAAATAGAGCACACATACACACACACACACACACACACACACACACACACACACACACACACACACACACACACACACAGCTGAAGCCCACCTAGAACTAAAATCTCTGGATCTAGTAGAGTGGGGATAGTTCTGATTGTCATGTGATGAAGACCATTTGTTTTGGTTTGCCTATGAAACACCCCCAGAGGTTTCTGGGGCTTCTTCTCATTCCAGCATCACTGTTTTGAGAAGAAGTAGAAAGTGCAAAAGTGAAACTCGGTTGAAGGAAGATCCCCGAGGGTGCGCCTTTGAACGTTACCTTGTCCATCTGTGGTACATCGTTCCCCTCTCTTCCTTGCTGCAACGAAATGAACAACTTCCATCGCCAAGATGTTCTTTCTCATCCTGACACAGTGGACCACAGACTGAGACCTCTGGAAATGTGAGCCTAAATAAATCTGCCTCACTTTTAAATTCTTCTTTCTCGTGTTCATCATGACTAACATTCGATGAGGAAATGGATGAGAGAGATCCTGGCATAGTAGCTGGTTTATTGCGCATGCTCAGTAGAATGCTCAATAATGCCAATAATGCGCTTGCTCTTCTCTCATCACCAAGTCGGCCATGGTCGGTCACACTTCCAGGGGAAGGTGCTTTCAGGTGTGTTTCTGCACTTTGATTTCCATTTTAAACTCTTGATCTGGGCGGGAAGTGCCACTTGGGCCACAACTCTTGTCCAGTTCTCTAATGAGAACAGGAGCTCCTGAGATTCAAGTATCTTCAGATGGGACCATGGTAACTGTTCCTGTTGGATTTCCCTGTCAGCTCAGACTTCAGCTACTGTGCCTGGACCCCAGCTCTCTGTTTCTTCCCTTCCCTTCCCCAAAAGAAATGTTACTATCCAAACCATGCCCAAACCAAGGCCTTACCTCATAAAAAGAATGCTTCTAGTCTGTTCTTTGATTGCTGGAAGTTTGACTTGCTCTCTGCTTCATCTTTCTTATCTGTGTAATAGGAATTACCAGTCCCAAATAACTTCTTTCACTAACTAGATATTGTTGCAAGAACCCAAGCACACGTGATGTTCTCACTAGGACCATATAGCCAGAGACTCCTATTAGGTCAGAGTTGATGGTGATGACCTTTTGATATTGTATCCTATTGCTTTTTGACAGACAGTCCTAGGGAAAGAAGGGGGTTGCCCATCTGCCCTATGCTGACATGCAGACTGACAGCACCATGCCTAAAGTTTGTGTTGTTCACCCTGGCTCACTTCTAAAGATACCTTATGAGTTCAGTTGTCCAGGTCCAAGTAAGGCTTGACTTCCAGAGTACTGATGACACCCATGCCACTTGTGTGGCAAGAATCACCTCAGGAATGTTCTAGGTAACACCCTTCTGTATGTCAAACTGACGCCTTGCTTGAAACTTAGATTTGGATCTTGCTCTTCTGTCAGGATAAATAAAACCTGCATTTTCATTCTGCTTTGTTGGGAATGTCTTTCCTCTTTCCATGCTTAACACATCACACTAAAAAAAAAAAATCAGCTTCGCAGATCCACTGTAACCTTTCCAATGGAAAGCAAATATCTTCCTTTTTACCAACTGAAAGCTGTGGCTTTGGGCATGGACTTACTCCAAGTGATGTATTTATTTTAGCATCTTTAACAGAGTCACCCAGACCCATCTTACTAATGTTTTTTCCTGATACTAAAGGCAAAGGCCATTTGAGAATAGAAAAGCAGCTCCAAATCTAAGCTGAATTTGCCTGGAGATTCTTGGTTCGTTCTGTTTAGATGACTCACTTTACAGTAAATCCCGAGTCCATGGTCAGAAATGTTGTGAGTATGAGTCAGACAGGAGAGAGGCTTAATAAAAACAACAGGCAGCAGCCCGGGCACTCCATGTGGCAGCATCATGAAATCTCAGGCCCTAATAAACTGACTTTGGAATGGTCTTTCTGGGAATAGCTGCATGCTGCAGAAGGCTCATTCTTCCTGCAGATCCCTGCCTGCTTTCCTGAGAGAGGGCTGTGGAAGCAGGAATCGCATGTTCTTGTATTTTAATCACTATTGTGGCAACACGGGGTAATATTATTGTAGCATCCAGCCAGCTGACGAGAGGAGATTAAACACGATTTCCACAGCAATACATTAAAACTCCAAATGAGCCGGTGGAGCTGTGGTGACCTCCAGTGAACCCTGGCTTCATGACTCAGAAGCAAAATGCAGCCAGGTTGGGACCAGGATGGCTTTGGAGAAGAAGCAGGCTCTGGCTTTTCTGCCTCACTGAGCTCTCTGTGCACAGACCCAGAGCTCCTGGCACAAAAGGAGAAATGGGTGGAGAGTCTCATGCAGCACATTACGGAAAGAATCCAAAGGAATTTTATTTTAAATGAAAAGAAGTGTTGCTCATAACGATCTTAAACCCCAGTGGTCACCAGAGGTCCCTTCTGAATACCCGAATATCTCTTTCGAGCACTCATTGTGTGCCTTTCAAGAGAAATCCAGAGGACGACCTTGAAGTCTCTTTGGTCCCTTGTTTTTTCCATGAGGCAGATCGTATTTTTGTAGTTTAAGTTCAAGTCTGCCAATTTGCATTAGCATATCATCTGCCTGGTTACCAAGAAAATGTTCCTGAAGAAGAAGAAGAAGGAAAAGAAAAAAATGGAGCCAGTTCATGGTCATTAAGCTTGCATCAGGAGCATGAATCAGCAGTCTGAAGGTGGCAAGGCTGAGGTTGAAGCATCCCAGGGATCTGGCACAGCCTGTAGGAGAGCTCTGGGCTGCCCTCTGGAGCGTGTTTGACCACATCCTGGGTACACAGCATCCACCTTCCACTAAGGAAAGGTCTGGGAAGACCTAAGACATGAGAACTGCCTAATGCCCACAGATCTACATTCCCCGACTTCTTTATCAACCAATTGTAAAAACAAAGGGAACGTTTGACAGTATTATATGTCCATGAATCTTTGCTCTTGAAAGAGCTATAAAGTCATGTAAAAACAAGTAAAAATATAATTTACTGTGATTTGCTTTAAACATTTTGTATCATTGGTACAGAAAGACAATACCAATGGAATGGGTGGCTTGTGTGTGCATGAAGACGTATAAGAGTAACAAAATAGTTTTCACCTGCTGTCATTCTTGAATCTAGTTTGCTTCTTCTTGTATCTCCCATGCCTCTGGGCAATACCTCTGGGCAATGCCCCTGCCTCACAGTAAACACTCTGAAAATGATTAGCAAATGTAGCGCTTTTCCAAAGGAGTACTCTCCAAACACAACTCACAACTTCTCAAGTGAGGAAACTGAGGCACGGGCAGGTCAAGGGCCTTCTTCAAAGTGGGGTGGGGGGGAGACACTTGATGGTAGAGTCAGGCCTTGATTCCCACCTCTGATGTTTCAGTTCTTGACTGTATCATTTAGCAAGGCTGTCAATCAAAAACTCTGTACCTCTTGCTGTAAGTTTATGCGAGGTCACTGGGCTCCATCATTGCATCTCTCTGGGAGTCCGTGATCAGGGAGCAATGAGAAGTCATGAACCTGTAGAAAGCTTCATTTCTAGGTGCTGCCTAAGGAGTCAGAGCTGAGAGCTGAGAGGAGCTGCCCTGATAAGAGTCTGCACAATACAGCTCAGGGAGAGATGGAATGAGAAGGTATCAGCAGAGCCACCGAGACTCAGGCCACCTGGACACTCACAAAAGAGCACCTGCAGAAGGAGTGAAGCAGTGCTTAAGCAAGACAATGCATTCTGCCTTCTGCGCTTGCCATCCTCACTCTCACTGAGTCTTTTTGTAGCCCTCCCTGGTGATACTCTGATGTCCATACCTTCAAGGTGGCCAGATTATTTGGATTGCTCTATCCATAGTTAGAATGCTGGGTTTTTTTTAATGATATCCTATTGACTTCTCAGATGCAGTTCATAGGAACTTATTTCTGTCCGGGGTCCTCTGATGTCACAGAGGTTTTCAAATTAGGTAGCCATATTTTAAGTCTCAGAATGAACAGACACTACCGCTAAGAACCATTGTGTACTGAATTCGGTATTCAGTACATTTCCTCTGAACTTTAGGAAAGATACATTCTTTTTGTAGACTTCAGAAGAATTTATCATCATACCCTCTCCTAACAGACAGTCTCCCTGTAATAACAGACTCTTACACGAGAAAGGAGAAATAAAACACTGTGAAGCTAAGCCATATGTGCCTTAATCTTGACTTTCCACAGCAAAGCAACTTGATAAAATGTGACTATAAATCACTGAAAAATTTCTTAAAGATAATAAAATACATGTCATTTGAAGGGAGAAAGACATGGCCATCATAGACATGGGGTTGCTTGTTTAATGGCTCGTGGGGCTAGAGAGATGGCTCGTCTAGAGATGTGCAGTCAAAAGTGCTTGCTGCACACCCAAGTTATGTATCTAATACCCACATCCAGTTGCTCACAACTGCCTGCAACCCCAGCACAGGGAAATCTGACACCTTCTTCCTGCCTCCACAGTGCACCAGTGTGCACTGTAGCTGAGGTTTTCCTAGCCTTGCCCGGCTCCCACGGCCCTGAGGCCACTTGGACCCAAGTGAACACACAGAGGCTTATATTTATTAAAACTTCTCAGCCATTAGCTCAGGCCTACCACTAACCAGCTCTTACATTTAAACTAACCCATAATTCTTATTTATGTTTAGCCACGTGGCTTGGTACCTTTTCTCAGTTCTGCCTTCACATCTTGCTTCCTCTGTGTCTGGCTGGCGAATCCTGACTCAGCCTTCTGGTTCCCAGCATTTTCCTCTCAGCTCATCCCACCTATACTATACTTCCTGCCTGGCTATTGGCCAATCAGCATTTTATTTATCAACCAAATCAGAGCAACAGACACTCACAGCACACAGAACGACATTCCCATCAGTGCACATACTCACAGGCAGACACAAATACAAACATGTCATCAAAAATAGAGAAAGTATTTTTAAATGACTCAAAAATGTATACATTAAAGCAAAAATATTTCATTGGGTGGTTATTTATTTAAAGTGCCTACCCAAATTTAGTAGTCACTGTAACTGCATTTTCTCAAATTCACTTTAAAGTTTCAGAAATGAGATACAACAATGAAGGCTCCATCATCATAAATGATAGGGATTTGGGGAGCAATGATTACGGCACCATTCCACAAAAACCCATTTGTAAGCACACAGGTGATCTTAGAAAGGTGTATTGACTGGGGCAGAAGTGAAAAACTGGACTATGCTGCAGCCTCTCATCTGGTAGAGCTTTCCTGTGTCAGAGCACTCAAGCTAGGAGTATCTGGAGACAGCAGAGAGTTTAGAGCAAACTGTCAGTGGCCCTAGCTACAGCTAGATGAAAGTCATTTGACTTGATGAAATGCATATGTGTGTACTCGGGGACGTTCGCTGTCTTCATCTATAAACTAAAAAATCCATTACTTAAAAGTCAACCAAGCGAGATTGGATGACCATCATGACTACAAAGGTCTTTTATAAACTTAAATGCTTTGCAGATGTAGCTATGATTTTTAAGAGGTCATTATTGCAATGGTGGCCTTCTGTGCTCTGATTCAATTATCATACTGTTTAAATAGGGAAGAATTCTCAATGTGAAGATTGATTGAAACATTAAATGGATGTATATGATTTTTATAAGCATGAATCAAAAGCACCATTTGTCCTACTACAGTAGGAATGGATGAGCCAAGCAGAGAGGCAAAAGACCTTCTGGAGAAGCTTGGCGGGAGCTCTCAAGCCAACCACATAGAATTCCATGTCTGCCTTTTCCTTCACTTCCTAAATAACTGGGGAAATACGATCATGTGTGTGTGTGTGTGTGTGTGTGTGTGTGTGAGAGAGAGAGAGAGAGAGAGAGAGAGAGAGAGAGAGAGAGAGAGAGAGAGAGAGTGCACTCACGCCAGTTTAGTATTCTTTTGCTTTTATGTTTTCACTGGAAGGAAAACTAGTAGAGAACGAGAAATAAAATATGATAAATCATTTAGGAAGAAGTTGGAGGCACTAGAAATAAACTCTGGGGGGAGAATATAATATTGAAAATAAGGAAGGTGAATTTTGTTGCCAGGGAAATGAGGAACAAATCAATATGAGGTAAAGTAGGTGCCAAATCAAAGGAAAGAGGAGAGACGGGAACATTTTTTGGACTTGTCAAAACAACTCATTATTGTACCATCTGTGCCAAGGTCTTCAGAGTCAGTACATTTATTTATATTTGCTCACCAGACCACTATAACTACTTAGTATCAGCATTCACCTCTCCCAAAAGACAAGCATTGCTAACCTGATATTCTGTATTCTGCATCAGCTGCCACACTTGGTCATTTAAATGCTTTACTTGGACCATGGCCCTGGCACAGGTACCTCCAGGCTCACAGTATAGTCCTTTTTTTATAATATTCTCATTGTTATTTAGTGTATTTGAAGCAAGGCAAAATCGCTTGCATTCAATATAATGGTACACACCAGTAATCTCACCACAGGAGGCAAAGGCAGGAGGATTATAAATTATATGACTGCTTGATCTATACTGGGTAAGTGGGCAGGGGAAGAGAAAGGGGAGGTGGGTATGAAGCAGGTACAGGGCAGGAGGAAGAAGGGAAGGAAAGAAGGAGAGAGAGAGGGAGGGAAGGAGGGAGGGAGGAAGAGAGAAAAAGCTACTTGCACACTAGCCTTCTACGGGGTCCAGAATCTATTCACTCATGCCTCCCATTATTAGTAGTGCCACCCAGAAATTTCTGGAGAGGTAAGGTGGCATTCAGCTCCCTCCTCCACAAGATCATTACATAATATGACATCAAGTATCTCTACAATTTAGAAATTCTGTCTTTGGAATTTCTACTTCTGTCATTCCATGAACGACAAACATCTAATAAGACCTTAAGACTGCAGAACCTTAGCCACAGATGGAACATTAGGTAAGGCCCATCTTACATTTTGCAGATGAAAGAACTTTGGGCAACAGTTGCTACTTGGCCAAGGTCACACACTAGTTACAAAGAGCCAGAATAAAATTTTTCTTCGCTGACTCCCAGGATCCCCTTCTTACTCATAGTGCTTCCTTCTCCAAATAATAAAACACTACAGCTTATGCATTCTCATGTTTTAAGAAACCTGCTACATTTTGGTAACTGACTTTTTGTTTTATCAGTTCAAACTTGATTGAAACGTTTATTTTTAAGTTAGTGGCTTTGAGATGTTTTTTCACATACTGAGAAACATCATGCACAAAGACACAGTGTGCAGCATACTTAATGTCAACTCTACTTGCTGCCAGAAGGATCAAGAGTGGAAAGAAAGCTGCACACAAAAGCTGGCCTGAGAACAAATCTCCAACCTGCTTGACTTGAGAAGTCTACTGAAGATAAGTAGACACTGTCCTTCTAGACCAGTGTTAAGTGGGTAAGGTTCTTTGTCATCACACTGCTTAGTGACTTAGCAGTTCTACATCTAAAGAGCTCTCTAAATGCCCATAAAGGACTCTGGAAGATATAAGGAAAAAGTAAGCTAAAAATTTATAGTCTATATGTCCAAGAGGAAGCCATCTTGCAGAAATATCAAGAATCATGAAAAAAGCTACCCCTTACAATTGTCATTGGTGTTACTACATTTTATTACAGTTGTCTTAAGGTAAGTTGATACTTATGTCCTTTTATTGCAGATTATCCTAATATGAGTTAATATTTGTGTCCTTTTGCATATAGGATAAATTTACTTTTGATGAACCAAACTAATTTGTAAAACACAGATTCTTTTTTTCTCTCTTTTGTTTTAAATTTGTATTTTTATTTTGTAATACAGTTCAGTTCTACATATCAGTCACAGATTCCCTTGTTCTCCCCCCCATGGCCCCCCTCACCTTCCCCTCAGCCCACCCCCCATTCACACCTCCTCCTGGGCAAAGCCTCCCCCGCGTACTGAGATCAACCTGGTAGACTCAGTACAGGTAGGTCCAGTCCCCTCTTCCCAGGCCGAGCCAAGTGATCCTGCATAGGCCCCAGGTTTCAAACAGCCAACTCATGCAATGAGCACAGGACCTGGTCCTACTGCCTGGATGCCTCCCAAACAGATCAAGCCAATCAACTGTCTCACCCATTCAGAGGGCCTGATCCAGTTGGTGACCCCTCAGTCATTGGTTCATAGTTCATGTGTTTCCATTTGTTTGGATATTTTTGTCAAAACACAGATTCTTATAACTATGCTTGACCTCCCAAAACAAGTGGCTATAAGAATAATGTATTTAGTGTTAAAATTTCTAAAGCTGATAAAGAGATTGTAGCATTGTTCCCTATTTATGTGATACATTTTATTTAGTTTTATATGTTGCAAGAGTTTCCAGTTCCTAAGACCTAGGGCCCTGTAATGAAATGCTACATTTTACAGGACTTCTTTGTGGTTGTTCTCAGATAATTCCTTATAAACTAAATAGCCTGATATAGATACAGGTGAAGATCTCTATGGAACTGTGATTGTTTTTTGCTGTATTTCAAAGATGATGACTGAATAGCAATCTTTCCCGATAGCTTCAGCAGCTGAATACTCCAACAAAATTGGTGTTTGTCATCAAATGAGAGTAGGTATCTGGTTCTTCAACAAATGATAGCTGATTTTTCTTCCATTGCCTGGTTGCATCTAACACTCAGAACTTACCTCACTGGCCCCCAAAGAAAGTCCAGTGTCTATAATTTCAGGGCAGACTAGGCAATAAGACATATTTTCCATGATGTCCCACTAATCTAAACACCACTGAGTTGCACTGCCACCAACAGTAAAAAAAATGCTGTTCATTCTCCAAATATGATAGAATGGACTCTTCTTTCTCATGGACCCAAGAGTATGCACACACACAAAAATATTCTCCCCCACCTCCCCACCCCCCGTTTCAAAAAGACACAAAAAGACAAAAGGAGGAGTGAGAAACTTCAACACCCTTCTCTTTCACTGTAGATTCTGCCCTATGAAGAAGAGTGCTAGTGTTAATACTTGCTTGTGTCTCATCTATTCTCTTTGAGCCTTAATATCTGAATATAAAGCCAGTTATCCACCAAGGTGAAGGACCTGTTCAATTTGTGTTTACTGACGTAGAACACAAGTGCTGATGGAAACCAATATATAAGAGAATTTTATTGACATCTACAGTGAAAATAAATTAGGTGCTTGAACAGAAAGTTGAATATGCCATCTACTTTGAGGAATCAAAAATATCCTATTTCACCTTGTACAATGTCAAAGCCGGGCCACCAGTGAATCATTCAAAAGTCTGTGTCAATTGATAATAAAGTATGCGTTGACACCATGAATGAGAAGTAAACATCTCTCTAATCCTGCTTTTCCATTGCATTTATTGCCTGATTTAAAAAAAAATCACTTCATTTTTGTTTCATTCAACTCATATTCCAACAGAAGAGTCTACCCATCTATGCTATGAAAACAACCAAGGCGAGTAACAGAGCCTTGGCCTTAGAGAGTGCTGTTTGGGCTTAATAAAGAGGAGACTAGTGTGTGTCTAGGTATTCAATTCTATTTTCATGTTGTCCATCAAGGAATTTTTAGAAATTGAAATAGGAATTTATAATATAATTTAAAACGTTTAAATATTCTTGGGTATAGGAGATAAAAATCCCAGAAGAAAGTATGATCTGGGACATCCAAGGTTGTAACAAGAGGGTGCAGGGTCAAGGCAATGCAGGACAACAGTCCTGGGCCTGGATCATCACTTCATTCACCAAGCGACAGAATAATGACATAAGCTCAGGCAAATGAGGTTGATTACTATGCAAATGCAACTTGAACCCAATCTCTGCTCCTCTAAACATATAGCTGCCCTTAAGCATAGACTGTGTAGAGACTCTGGGAGCTGCCACCATCTAGTCTAATAGTGCTTAGTAATGAGCAGTAGCAAACATCTGAAGAAGTCTTCTGTGGAGCTCAGGATCACAGAAAGTTTCACCATCTCCCAAATAAGTCTTGAACTAAAATGGTATGATGATCATTCTATCACTAGTGTTAAGCTCTTATTTAACACTGACCATATGTAGTGGATTATTAAACACTCAATTTGGAAGCTCTGTTTTACATTTTTATACAATATCCTATTTGTTTCTCATGGCAGCCCTGTATGAAGCAGACGCAATTATTTCTCTCATTTTACTAACTGAGCAAACATAATCTCCAAGAGTACAAATGACTTTCTGGATGGTGTATAGATAGCAGCGGCATAATTAAGAGGACAGCATAACTGCTTTCCTTGGTCAACCCAAGCCTGACAACCTTGCAAAATGGTGCATGGGTATTTTCAGAGTCTGTGCACGTGTGGTTCAACAGCTTCTGGGAAACTAAATGTGAAAACTGCTTGGCTTGCACAGGGTAGAAGCATGTTTTTTTTTTTTTTTTTTTTTTCCTGAGGTGTAGGCTGTTGACAGAAACTGGACCCTGGAGAAGGGAAGCACTTGATTTAAAAAAACAAACAAATAAGCAAAAAGCACCTAACCTGCATGGAATATTCAGCTTTCTTGCAACTAAGTATGAGGACCTCAGAGGCATGGGCAGACTGGCCACGGCTCAGGCTTTACAGAAATAAGTCTCTACATCTGGCCTATTGAATGCTGAATATATTATTGCCTGGTAAGATGAAGGAACGGAGACTGGGGCGCATGGTTTCCTTGGAGCTTTCACTCCTGTGGTTACAGTACAATGCCAATTGGGCCTGCATTTAGGGTTGACAGGAATTGATGGGAATCTGTTCAAACAATTTTCCTGTAGCATCAGTCAAGTGCATAGAAAACGTAAGGGCTCCTGCAAAGAGAAGTCTGGCACCCATGCTGTTACTTGGATAATAAGTATGTGTGTTTTCCCGATTATATTTGGGTAAATGCTAAGGTCCAGGCACCGAAGAAGCAAAGGAAGTCAATGGGAAATTACCAAAGGATTGGGTTTGCCTGAAGCAAATATCATTCCAAATAAAAAAAGGAGGAGAAACAGCCAAATTCATTTTGCCACTGGAGTTCTTTGGGTGTTTAGGCTCTGTAATATACTGTTAATGTGATTAAAATGGAGGCATTCAGACTTAAACGGTTGTTAAAATAAATTAGAGACATCAAAATTGGCAGGGTTTAGGTTTTGGAGAACTCCATTCTGTCAGTCTTCCCTGGAATTTAACCACTCCAATATTAAGCTATTGTTTTTCGCGATGTGAAACTTGGCAGAGAACAAAATGAACAGAACCACAGCTTTGAAGAGAAATCCACTGAAACTCAGCAAAGGGCTGCTGTCTAAGAATGCCTTTCTTAGAAGACCTGAGCTAAAACAGCTATTAACCAGGTAAATCATACTAAGCAAATACGTATCTCTCACATCCATGTTCTTTGCATATTTTTCCTTCATGGATGTGTGCAAATACACATTTATGGGTGTATATGAATGCCAACTGTACCATTAAGGTGTTTGTAATTGCTGTGGAATATTAGCTGATGTTTATTTTTTAGAAGTCAGTAAGAAAGGGTTAAAAGCCAGCAAATTGCATCAGAAATATGTCTCCTGATTCACTTTCAGACACTACATGCATGTAATCATGGTGTACATGTGCACATACACCCCTCTGATTTATTCACATGCATGCACCTGCTCATGGAGACATTTTTGATACCTGGGGAACAAGCAGAAGGTTACTCATTAGAGTGAGGCTAGCCACTTTAGGATCTGCCAAGTCTCAGTCAGTCTTAGCACTATCTACTTCATTAGATCTAGAAAATCATTTGCCCCTCCACCTTCTGCGTCTGTCTGTGAGCATACTTTCATAAAGATTAATTAAGGATGAGCGCCTACCCTAAATAGGTAACTGGGTAGCACCATCCATTGGGCTGGGGACTGGATAGAATAATGAAGAAAAACAAAAGGGCCCTTGAAACAGTTGCATTCCCCTGTCTCTGTTTCTTGTCTAAAATGAGGGTAGAAAGAATGTCCTCTGACATTATAATATCCTGCTCAAGTGCATGGGACCAAACAACCCTTGACTGAATTCTTTGAAGCCATGAGCCAATAAACCCTTTATTAAATGGTTTCTTTCATATATTTTTACCATACCTAAGAACAGTAAATAATAGGCCAGGTTAGTTCAAAGTAAATTTTTGAAGAATGTTAGCTGGATGTCCCCTCATGATGGTAATTATGCCTCACACTTCTGCTCTTTATTTCTTGGCTTGTCTTCATATCATCAGACTTTGTAAATTCAGATACAAAGTACTGAAAATTTGGGGATTGGTTTGGTGGCCTATAATTTAATAAGTTCTGGATAGGCTATTTCCAAGAGAACATAACATCTTTCCCTCATAACACACACACACACACACACACACACACACACACACACACACACACACACACACACACACACACCCCTGGACACATACTTACATTAATACACAACAGCATTCAGAATTTTATCAGTGTTTCTTTATGTGTGTGCCCACAAAAGTAGAAATAGCATTCACTTTTAGTGTGTTCTAACGATTTCCCTGCAGGTTATCCAAACAGTATCTCTGAAAAGAATACATCAAAGGCCACATTCAAATTGTCTTTTGAATGATGCCCTTGCCAGCAATGAAAATGAACTCTTTCCCAAGTGCCCAGGGGCAGTACTAAAAAAGAATCAGGCACTGGCCTTAATGAAAATCCAGTTTTAGGACTAGAAGCAATTTAATATACTGTATCTTTCCTCCGAGGTCATGACTGTGTCTCAAGAAGGTTCTAACAAACAGTACTTGGGAATAAAAAGGGCCACATGTAAAATATCTACTGGGAAAAGATCTTTGCTTTGCAACATTCATGTACAGGGAAGAAAATGAAGTCTTCACTTTCTGTGACACACCAATGATGAGCCATTTGCCCGGTCAGGTAAAAAGCAGAGTGAACTAACTGTCGGTCTGGAGTTCTAGTCAACCGGGGCCTTTCTTTTGTTTAGTTTCTGATCTTGGCCGAGTTAGTTCTTTGATTCAGGATTCTTATTTGTAAAATCAGCGTGAACATGTCAGCTTCCAAATCGTTGTGGCTGAGGACAACCAGAGCAAATGACTTTCAGATGTCAAAATGATTTGAAATTAAACGTCCTCACAAACAGGATTTAAGATGCAGGGTGCACGGAGGGCAATGGCCGCACTCCCGAGCGCCCATTTGGGTTGAATGGCCACGTGGCCAGTTTGAGATGAGTGTCTAGGCTGCTAATGTGTGTTGTGGTTGTCGATGTTGCGAAAGCCTCTTCTTCTACCCGTAGATTATTTGATGCAGCTGTCTCCAGTGTCTGCCTGCTTGATCCTTCCCCCTTTTAGTGCTAATATAATGAAGAGAATGACTTTGAAGTGATCCAAAACCCCTAGCTGATTCTCCAGCTGGCCGTAATTGTGAGTCTCCGACCTCAAAATCCATACTAAAGTCTGTAGCCGCTAGAGCAGTCTAACAAGAGCACAGGGCTGGGATATGAACAGGGAGAGAACTGCAAGTGAAGGCATTAGTTTAGATTAAACCTTACCAATGGAGAAACAGAAAGCTACTCTCTGGTCTCAGAGGCTGGCAAGAGCAAGCAAGATTCCTTTTGAGAATCAGGGACTCCACATGGATGGATTTTAGAAAACATTAGCAGGTTTCTAAATTGCTAATCTCCTCAGTGTCCCCAAGATACGTAGTCTTTCTGAAATGGTTTATGGCATTTCATTCCCATTTATACTTCATTTAGGACATGTGCCTCATCCTTGCCTAATATGAGTACATTTCTAGGCACAAAATCAACTTGGTGATTTTTGTATTTTAGCGCATATGAGCAGGTATATGTGCACATCTATAAATGTGTATATGTATATGCATATAGATACATTGGTACTCTGTGAATGCACTGGAACTTTAGATGGTGGGAGGAAGATGAGTGCCATCTCGTGGAGAGCCCTACCATTACATTTTTCAAATTGCCTCTATTAAAACATTTTTCAAAAAAATTCCAAACTACTATTCTTTGGGGTAAACGTTTTCTTCTTCTCTTTTCAGGTTGCTTGCTTGCATAAATAATAAAGGTCTTCTGAGTAAATATCACACGATCTGATGTGTCCTGATGCACATGAGGGAATGGACTGTGAATGAATATGGAGAGTGTGGTGAGTCAGCAGAAAACAAATGCATTGTTGACCAACTCAAGCAAAAATATAAAAGTAGTGACATGAGATAATAAATAAGTCCAGGATTCAGGCGTGTCCTGTGACCACTTTATAGCCCCTTTATCATGTACAGCCAACAGCTCCTAAGATGTACATAAATATTTTCATATGTCTCAATGAACTGGCCTCATAATCTATTGACTTATCTGTAAGTGTAGCTTGGAAATAATATCAACACACTATTGAACCAGTTGCTTAAGATACATATGTAGATACATACTTGCACATAATCTGCTGTAGGTAGATATTGTAGGTTAACTTCTTAGCGTCACTGCGGTCAAGGTTCTAAATTCATATTACAGGGGCTGATGAAAATCCACAGGAAAAACAGACTTCTATAAAATAATTGTAGGAGATAGTTAACCGGCAGGAGTTCATGATTTTACGTATTTTAATACTTACTGCACGAACAAGAGTGAATAAAGATAGCCCTCCTAGAGTAAGTGAAAAAGACATGAGTAGTAGAAGTTTACATGCACCCTTCCATCCATATAGTCAACACATAGAAAGCTGGCTCTGTGCACAGTACTGCACTAGAGTTATCACAAGGGAGCCATCAGGCAAGAATGGACCAGGCTCCCTGCTCTCAGGAGACATGTGTTCTGGTAGAATAATATGGAAAAGAGGTAAGTAAAATGTACTGTTTGTTGTAATATCCAAGAAGTACAATCCTTATGAAACTGACGAGAACCATGGAGATAAAAGAACAAAAACAGATGAGGGCGAAGTCAAGAGAGAAGAAGGAATTCAGTCTCTACCCTGTGTTGTATACAGAGTGTGAAGGGAGTGATGGGCTGCTCTGGAGCCAGCCGCACTTGAATCGGGAGTAACAGAGAAGATGGAAGAATTGCTTCCTAAGTTAAACTTCCCTAACTGGAGTGAACAAAGGGTGGGTCAGTGCTACGGTTCAGCAGCCGCCATGGTGTCTGCCTGCTTTCACCAGGGCTGCCTGGCTCAGGTTCCTGGTGAGTTTTCTGCTTCCCTTTGCCCTCTGGCAAATCACACAGCCAGAGCTGTGTTCAGCTTGGCTGAGGTTTTTGTTAGGTTGGTTGGTTGGTTTAGTTTGGTTCAGTTTTTTTTTTTTTTTTTTCTGTGCTTTGCATATCTCTTCCTCCACAATTTTCACATATCCTGGCACAACTTTTGACAATTGCTGAAGCTTTTCCCCACTTCCTCTTCTGAGAATAGAGTCTAATTTTTCATACTCCGACATTGTTCTTCTTCTTTGGGTCACAAGGAGGCGGCTTCTTGTCCACCATCTTACCTAGAAGTCTAAAATAATTTTTACTCCAAATCAGGTCCTCTGGGTTGTTTTGTCTGTTCCTGGAATGAGAAAATTTTTGCAGTTTTTCCCAGGTTATGTTTTGCTGGGACCTTGTCATAATCAGCTTCAGTTGTCAACTTGACACCGTGGGAAGAGGGAACCACAACTGCCTCCTTTGGATTGGCCTGTGTGCATGCTTGTGGGGGTGCATGACTAACTGATGTAGGAGAGCCCAGACTACTGTGAGTGGTGCCACCTATAGGCAGGTATACCTATAAAGGAAGATAGATGACCAAGCCAATAAACACTTTCCTCCATGGTCTGTCTCGGCTTCAGTTCCTGCCTCTAGGTTCCTGACTTGAGCTTCTGGTGTGGCTTCTGGTGTTGATGAACAGTAACCTGTAGGGGAAATACAGCTGTCATCCTCTAAGTTGAGTGTGATCAGGGTCTTATCATAGCAACAGAGTAGTATGATTGACATAACAAGTGGTGTTGAAGACTCAAGACGCTGACTCAGATGGGGTATCCTTTTATCTGAATCCCACTTTTGTCCTGGCTTAGATGGAACCCACTTACTTAGCAATTCTTCACTAAATTGCTCATGGTTTAGTTCAAACCCTCCCACTAAATACGTTTTCCTCATGAATTTCTTTAAAATCAGTTGTTCTTCATTCTTAAAATGCATTACATTTAATTTTAATTTTTAGAGATGTATGTATTTTTATTTTATGGGTATGGGTGTTTTTCCTGCATGTATGTATGTGGACCATGTGTATGCAGCACCTACAGAAGCCAGAAGACAGAGTCAGATCATCTAAAACTGGAGGTACAGATGGTTGTTAGTTGCCTTGTGGGTGGTAAAATTTAAACCCAGGTCCTGTGGAAGAGCAGCCAATGCTCTTAACTACCGAACCATCGCTCCAAACCCTACATTTAATTTTAAAGACATAAATTTAAGAGTCAATAGGCACGATTCTATTTATGCTGACAGAAAGTCATTTTCTTAGTAACAATGTATCCATTCAGCCTTCCAGGTTGTTTTTGAATCTTGGTGAAGGCAGTGGTACACTGAACCAAAAAGAGCATTTGATAAAATGGCTGAAATTAAACAAGAACAGGATTTATAATGTTATTCTATTATTTTAATGCTCCTCCAATCTTCCCAAAATAAAAAGAAAGATCTATCTTCATTCTATCATCTCATCTCATAACACTATCGCATAAATCTTGCTGAAATAGAAATGCATTATTTTCAGAAATATTCTACATCTTTCAAATTAAAACCAAGCACTGAAATATTAAGAAGACATGCATCCCTATTTAGGGCTGAGCACTCGGCACATTCTTATTCTCTGCAAGGTGACCAGTTGAGGGTCTCTGTGTTAATTACCATCTGTTTCAAGGAGAAGCTTCTCTAATGAGAGCTGAGAAATGCTCTGATCCATGGTTACTTCAATAAATCATTGGAAGCTGTTTGACTATGTCCATTTAGCAGAGTCAGAGTATTGGGTTTTTCCCCGGGGCCTATAACCTATCTACCCATAGACTCTTGGCTTCTTTAATGGCACCAGCCAGAGGTGCCTGGAAACCATGTTATTCAGCCAGCGGTAGTTACAAACAATGTTATCTAGGTACAACAGGACAGTTGGACATAGGAACTCACAGTATGCACAAGACCCGGGCAAGCTCCAGTCAGATAAAATCCCAGAATAGGAAAGGTGGGCACAAAATCTCACCCCCAGCTGAGGAACTACTAGGTTTTGGAAGCTATTAGGAGAGGGGGAGTCTGCTTTCATTAACAATGTAACCCTAACCCCACAGAAGGTTACCCACATGCTGTGGCAGGTCCCACTCCCAAGACTAGCCAGGTAACACAAACTAGACTCAATAGGAAAACAGGGGGGGGGGGAGAGCGGGGCGGGGGGAGGAAATCATAAAGTTCAGTGCAAAGGGATAGGAGGAAGGAGAGGGTAGTTACAGAAGGAGTTGAGGGAGGGGGTTGAATATGTCTTAAAATTCATAATTTGATTTTCCTAAAGAATTAATAAAACTATTGTTTAAAAATTAAGGAAAGTAACTAGATTATGGCTCAGTAGTGGACCACTTTCCTAATACATGCAAAAATTGAGATGCAATACCTAGTACCTTGAAATCCAACAATCAACAGATCATTGGAAAATTTAAACACGGCCAAGATCTCTATTAGCTTTGTTTTCCAACGTGGCCATGACTTTATTGCATATATCAGTATTGTCTTGAAAAAAAAAAAAGACTTCCAAATAAGATGGCAGACTGGGAGTTGCCTCTGTGTGACACAGTGAAAGAGAAGAGTTGGGATATGAAAGAATCAACTCTACCCTAAAGAAAGACAGAGGGAGGAGAAAAGGGAGTGATTGGAAAGATGATAGTTATGGGCACACAAAAGGATATCTGCCAAAGGAACTAAGACCCAGGCAGCCCCAGTTATGTAGACAGGGTGAGAAAAGACACCACATCCAAAATGGAAGCTAGGTGGCCCTGGTGAAGGTAGACTACTGGGTGTCCAACCTATAGAAATGCTCCTATAAGCCTCAAATCCTGGTTTGGGTGTAGATGCAATGGTAGTGCCTTAGATAGAGTTCTGTGACCAAGTGCCAGCTTGAGACAAAGCCTGTTCTTTAAAACTGAGTTTTCCTGGGGGCTGGAGAATGTGGAGCCATTACTCCTGTCATTAATTGATGTGAAAGACAGAGCAATAGGAAGGGATTTCAGAGAGTGAGAGGGACAGAACTGACAACTCCAGGAGTGTAGATGACAGGAGGATCCACTCAGGTGTTGAAGTGTGTACAGAAAGCCCCACCCTTGATGGCTAAGGAGTTGACATCCTTATCTAAGTATACTTTTGGAGTTTGATAACCCTTGTTTCAATAAACCTCTGGAGCCACTTCTCAGTGTCATAGAAGCTGGGACATTTAAGACTTTACAGAGACACCTACAGCTGCATCCTTCCAGCATGATACTTGGCCAAAATGCTAGAAGTACAAATCAAATAGACAATGTAGAATCTATTAAGACAAACTCATCAGAATGACATCAAAAGTCTCAATAGAAACCATAAATCTGAAGAGCACATATAGCAATGTAAATCAAGGCCTGAAAGTAAATAACTGTCATTTATGATTAATTTAATCACAAATTGATTTAATCACAAAAATTACATTGTAGAATTGACAGAGTAGTAAGACACTTGAAGACAAGAACAAACTGATCAGTGACCACCAAGCCAAAAGTAAAGTAGAGGCTTAAAGAAATCCTATATATAGAGGAGGAAGAAATTCTCAACCAAGAGGCACAGCAGAATAAACATCATTCGATGAATAAATGATCAAAGAAGACTGTAAAAGAATCCATATCTAACACAGTACCAGCAAACTCCTAATACAAGAAGTAGAGAAATAATAATGACAAAAAATTTCTGTTAAGAAATTTTTTATTCATTTTACATACCAACCACAGATCCCTCTCTCTTAATTCTTCCCACCACCCTCCTGCAGCCTTTCCCCCGCCACAGCCCACTCCCATTCCCGCCTCCAAAAAGGTAAGGCCTACCGTGTGGAGTCAGCTTGGTTTGCTTGTCTCTGTAGATTTCCCCATCATGATCTTGATGCCCCTTGCTCATAGAATACCTCTTCTTTCT